TCTGTCTCCCAGCACAGCTCCAGTCCCCGTCTGTCCACAACACCATCGCTATTCCAGCTGGCCTGTCACTGGACCCCACCCACTTGATGTCAACCCACCCAATCTCATCTCAAATGCCACAGCCACTGTCAGCCCCATCTCCATCCTCAAGCCCATCTCCAGCCCAACCCTGTCCCTAACACCAGCCCCATGGCATCCTCTCCCCAAACCCTTCCCCAGTCCCAGCCTCAATTTCCACCTACATCCTCTCCCCAAGCCCCCCCATCAGATCCAGCCCACTCACTGCTGACTCCAGTCTTACCCCATCCCCAGTTCTCACCTCAACCCTATCTTTCTCCCCAACTTCAATCACTCCTCAACCCTCTCTGCTCCCCTTCTCCCTCCCCCAGCCATGGCCCCCCCCCCAAGCCCTGGGGAGCTTGCTCACCGAGGGGACCACTGATGCAGGACACGCAGTGGAAGTAGCTCTGACAAGCACGCTCCACGTTGAAGGCTACCCAGTACCGCAGGCTGCTCAGGAAACTGACCCACGAGTCCAGAGGGTTGAGGATTCGCACATCCCCCCCAACAGCCCCTACCCGGGGGTCCTCATCCAGCACCCGCACCAGCTCCAGCAGTGCCATGGGGTCCAGCCTGGTGTCTGAGTCACAGACCTGAGAGGTGGAAAGGCCAGGATCAGACCAGACCTCTGACAGGGCTGGTGCCCAGAGGGAGTGTGCCCAGGGCAGGGGACGGCAGCTGGGGCACTCTGCAGACAATCTAAACATAATGTTGAATGTTCAAGGTCTAGCCACATTTTAAGATGTACTCCAAGATGCCCTTGTATGACACCCTCCGCTGGTGGATGAAGAAACCTGTAACTTGCTTCTAATCAACAGAATATGGCGAAAGGGATGGGATACAATTTATTATGATTTTATTATCCTATATGGAAAGGGTTGACTGGGTTTTGTAATTTTAATTACAAAAATCTTAATTAAATGTAATTAAGAACCCAAATCTACTGACAATAAGTTAATCAAAAGGAAACCATTCCTGGTGGGTTTGACCCAATCAGATGAGGCCTTTACAAAGGGGTCTAAAAGTCAGAGACTCTCTCTTGTTGGCTTAAGGAAGCAAGTTACCATGAGTTCCACTGTAGTTGAAACAAACAAACAAACAAATCTGCCAACAAACACATGAGCTTGGGATGGACTAAGACCCGAAGCCTTGGATGAGACCTCATTCTAGTTGACACCTCAGTTGCAGCCTGGTGGTGATACCCTGAACCGAGAATCCATTAGTCTGTACTAAGATTTCTGACTCATAGAAACTATGAGGTAATAAGTTAGAATAACAAATTAGAGATAACTGTTTTGTTTTGAGTTGCCAAATTTATAATTTGTTATGCAGCATTAGAAATATAATGTAATGTATTTGTGAGAAAATCTTCTACACTGAATGGGTGAATGAATGAATAAATAAACAAACTCATCTCTAAATTGAGTAGATAGATGCATGAACCCCAAAATTTCCACACATAGATGAAGGAAGAAAGATGGAGGAAGTAAGGGAACAAATCTCTACATTTAATGGATAAATGAGTGAATAGTTGAGCAAATGACCTCCATATTGGGTGGATAGATAGATACATAAATAAATGAGCGAAAGAATTTCTATACTGAATGAATGAGGAAAGGAATTGATATTATATTAAGTAAATGGATAGATGTCTAGATGAGTGAATGAATGGATGAAGTAAAGAATCTCTGCCTGCAGTGGGTGCCTGGAGAAAGAACTCTGTCCATTGAATGGAGAAAGGAGTGAAAGATTCCATATTGAATGAGTAGACAGATGAATACTGGAAGAGTGAAGGAAAGAATTTCTGCATGGACAAGATGAAGATATTGTGTTGAACAGATGGATAGATGAATGAATGTCCATATTAAAGGAAAGACTAGATGCATGGATGAATGAATAAAGCAGAGTTTCTGCCTTCTGCCTTAGGTAAGTAGATGGAGAAATGAAGGAATGACTTTATCTGTATACAGAATGGGCAAATGAACGCACGATCTCCATATTGGATGGATGAGCGGATGGATGAATGAATTTCAATATTAATAAATGGAGGGATGAATGGGTGAGTGAATGAAGGAATTAAGAGCTTCTGCTTGGAATGGGCACATGAATGAAGAAAGGAAAAAAGAATGTCTGTCTATATGGAACCAATGAATGAAAGCCCAATCTCTGTTCTGGATGGATGGATGAATAGATGCATGTATCAATGAGTGAAGGAAAATCTCTCCATTGAATGGATGAATGAATAAAGAAAGAAGAGGTTTATTACAATCTCCACCTGAATGAAAGACCCCAGGGAAGTGGGGGCGTCAGGACCACGGGTGGGCACCGTCCACTCACCTGCACATAGTCCACAGAGTCGCCCAGCGCCTTGAAGGCCGTGTACATGACCTCGCGCTTGCCGCCCCAGCGCTGCGCCACGCACACGCACCTGCGCGTCCTCACCAGCGCCTCCACCGCCAGCCGTCCTGGATCTTCGGCCTCCACCTCCCGGTAGGCGCCGGCGCCGGCATCCACCGCGCCCGCAGCTGCAGGTTCCCAGGGCTGGTGGTAGTTGCCGTCCCACACATAGGTGGCGGGGTCCTCGTCGGCGAAGACCTCGCGGAACATGTCGACCATGTAGAGGTCCTCGGCGCGGTTCCCGTCCACCACCATGAGCACGCGCAGCCGCGCGCGCGGGTACAGCAGGGCGCGAGCGGACGTCAGACACTGGCGCAGGTACGCCGGGTCCTCCTGGTACGCGGAGATGGTTAGCGCCACGCTGCGGGCGGTGGCCGCGTCCAGGGGCCCCCGTGCCGCCGCGCGCCGCGCCGCAGCCGCCACCCGCCGGTGCTCCAGGTACGCGAAGAGACTCTGCGCCACCAGGTGCGCCGAGAGGAAGGCTCCGTAGAGTCCGAAGGCCAGGAGGCCGTAGCTATCCGAGGCCAGTGGCACGCCGGCGGCATAGGCCCAGGTCATGAGGCCCAGGATGAGCAGGGCGAAGGCGATGGTCAGCACCCGCCTGGCCAGGCCTGAGCAACGGCGCGCTGCTGCGGTGGGCTTGGGCACGTCCTGCTGGGAGCCAAGAGGGAAAAGAGCCAACTGAGGCCTGAGGGCCTCCTTTGAGAAGCCGGAGGTTATTCCCCGCTCCCAGCTGAATGATAACATCCCTTTTTTGTAAAGATCCTTGTAAACACTGCAAAGTTGTTTTCATTAATGAACAGAACTGTGATAACAGTCGTCTATGCTTAATGCCTGATTTTCTCCCTTCCATTACGAGTTATTTTTCACAGTTTGACACCTAAAACATTAAGGATAATATGCAGTGGAGCGTGGCAGGGTTCCTCCCTCTTTATTTTTAGTTTAGTTTGTTTGTTTGTTTGTTTTTGTTGTTGTTGTTGTTCTCTGTTTTGCTTTTTTGATTGAGGCGGGGTCTAACCATGTTGCGCAGGCTGGTCTCCAACTCATGAGCTCAAGTGATCCAACCGCCTCAGCCTTCCAAGTAGCTGGGACTACAGGTATGCCACCACACCTGTGCCCCTCTTCCTTGAGCACATAAAATTGAGATTTGCCTCTCAACCACAGGATTCTTAGTATTGAGACAGCAACAGTAATAACGGTACTAAATAGTAATACGCAATGGCGGTTACCGCGCACTGCCCACCTAAGCCTCTTATACGACCTTACTTATTTGAATCCTCACACCAGCCCTGTGGGTTTAGACTATTATCAGCCCTCTTTTATGGATGAGCAACTGCGTCACACAGAGGTGCAGCAACCTGCCCAGGTCCCACCTGCGAAAGGTAGGATCTGGGATTAGAACCCTGGGGATCCAGGCGCCAAACAACCTTATCTACTGGATTTATCCCTCTGGAGAGCCCTGGAGGACAGCAGTAGCAGCCACCATACAGAGGGCAAAACTGAGGATGATTAGGCAGGAGGAGGGGCTTGTGCAGGTGAGCAGCCCACAGCCGGGGAAATCTGACCTCTCAGAGGCCTGGAGGGTTCTCCCTTTCCACTGCAGCTCCCTGGCAGGACCAGGTGCCAGTAAGTGTGGCTGGGAGATGGGAAGAGAGCCTCCACTTTCTCATCCTTAAAGTGAGTATTTAGTCCCTTCCGCAAGCCAGGCATTGTGACTCTCCCGTTATGATGATGGAGCAGAGGCCCAGAGAGACAGATGCTGCACCCCACAGTCACTGAGGTAGGAAGTAGAGAGTGGTGCTCAAACTCAGGCAGTGGGCTCTAGGCCCCCTCTATGCCCAGCTGCCTCATAAGCTACCACTCCCTGGTGATTGTGAGTTAAATGAGTCATTACCATGCAGATCTTTGAGGTCTGAAACAGAGGTCACTTGTCACCTGTCGCTACCAGCACTTGAAATGCAGCCAGTCCGACTGAGGTACTGCATTTTTAATTTTAATTAATTTACAATTTAAGACCTATACTCCATTCAGTTATTAGAACGCCTTTAAATGGGGAAAGTCGGGCCTTTGAAACTTCTTTTTCAATGGCAAATTTTTACAAAAATCTAAATCCAGATCAAGTATTTACCATACAAATGTAGCATCTGAGTAGAATGTGCTATGAATGCACACTAGTTTTGAAGCCTGAGTCTGAGCAAAAGAAAGTAAAATATCTCATGAATATTTTTGTGTTGATAACATCCTGAAATGATCATATTTTTTATGCATAGTGGAGGTCGGCATGCTAAGGCCTGCTATAGCCTACAAAGTAATAAACAGCTTTTTACATTTTCAAATGGTCGAAAAAAGCCAAGAGGAAAATAATATTTTGTGGTACATGAAAATTATATGAAATTCAGATTTCAGTGTCCTTAAACCAAATTCTTTTGGCGTATAGCTTCACTCCTCTATGAATCGTCTGTGGCTAATTTCTCACTACAAAATCAATGTTGAATAGTTTCAACAGAGAACATCTGGCCCCCAGATCCTCAAATACTTACTATGTGATGTTTCATAAAAATAGGCAGACCTCTGACACATTGGGTTAAATAAAATATATTACTAAAGTTAATTTCACATTTAAAAAAAGTTTTCTTAATACTTTCATTTTATTTATTCACTTTTATGTGGTGCTGAGGATGGAACCCAGGGCCTCACACATGCTAGGTGAGCACTCTATGGCTGAGCCACAACCCCAACCCCAATTTCACATTTTTAAAACTTTTCTGAGAAGATTGTGTGTGTGCATATGCGCGCGCACACACACACACACGGCCACTCATTTGATGCTTCTGTAAGATAACAGGAGGTAGAGTTTTCATGTGATTTTTCTTTTTCTTTTCTTTCTTTTTTCTTTTTTTGAGACAGGGCCTGGCTATGTCCCATGCTGGCCTGGAACTCCTGGCTCAAGTGATCCTCCCACCTCAGCCTCCTGAGTGGCTGGGACTACAGGCACATGCCATCTGGCTTGAGATACAGGTTTTAATTGCCCTGTAGCAGTTATTTTTTCTTCTACAGCCCTCCTTCTCTGACCTTTTGCCTCAGACCTGCCATCTCCTGAATTCCTGGGGGTGGCCTGCTTTGTGCCACGTAGTGCCAAGGAAGATGGGGCCCACAGCTTGTGTGCCTGGCAACTCAAACATAAATGAGCTCACACACCCCTACGCGCACTCGCCCACGACCAGTGACGCACAGACTGAAAACACCTGTTTGCTCTCACACGAACCCAGAACCAGAGATCCTCCACCCCCACCAACCACCAAGCAGGTGAGCCCCCTGATGCAGGGACCCAGGAGGGCCCACGCCCTTCAACACTAAGGAGCAACATGAAGAGTCGCCCACCTGTGGGTCTGGGGGGGAAGGGATGGGCCAGGAGGGCTTCAGAAGAAAGCATAGTTAACGGTGGAGAAGGAATCCTACGAAATCGACATCTTTACAGGTCAAGAGCCGAGTATCAGTGATTTCATTTGGTTCCGCTCAACATTTATTGAACACATGAAACCCAAATCCAAACTCAGGTTACAGGCAAACTAAGCTCGCACTTTTCTCTCAGTCCCTTTTCTTGCTCACCCTCTTGTTCTGACCTCCTCTCCCCTGCTAGGGAGCACGCACACGCACGGACTTATAGCAAGATAAACAGGTAGAGAGACATGGGCGTGTTGCATCTCACACGCTTGGATGCAGAACGCAGCCCACCCTCGGCAGGGAACGGGAGACGGGAACCACATGCTCAGCCACAGGTGCTCACCATCCCGCACAGGGAGACTCGCAGGAAATATCACACACACACACACCACACACACACACACACACACACACAGACACACACACACACACACCACACACACACACACACACACACAGCACCCATGGGCACACCCAGGGCAGCCTTCCCCGCCTGGCCCCCGTCACCCCACGCACCTGTGTCATGGCGGTGGGTCCAGCTAGACTCCTCTTGGGCTTGTTCTCAGAGTCTCTCTGAGGCCGCAGAGCTGGAGGGGGTCATTTGAAGACTACCAGGGGCGGGGGCGGAGTAGGAGCTGACATCAGGCCCAGGCGGGCCAGGGGCTCTGAGGTCACAGCCGTCACAGCTCCACCCGCTTCCCAGCAGCCGGCCTCCCTTCCCAGCCGCATCCCAGCTCCAGGTCCTCTCACCCCACCCCTGCTCTCCGGGCCCCTCCTTCTCCGTTTCCCTCCCCCTCCTCTCCCTTGCATTCGGGGGCTTCCCTGACCTCTGTCTTGTCCCCGTCCTTCTCTTTCTCCCTGTCCCTCTATTTCTCCGCATCTCTCTCCCCGTCGGGCTCCCTATTCTGTATTTCTTCTTAGCTCTTTCTTTCTGCCCCATCTCTCTCCCCACATCTTTCCCCTCCTCTCCTCTCCGTCAGTCGCCCCCCACACTGCCCCTTCCCACAGCCCCATCCCAGTTTGGTTCCCCAGGGACATGTCTGGGGACCTGGCAGATGGAGTGGAAGGCACACTGGTGCGTGTGTGGGTGTGGCCGAGTGCTGGCTGGGGAGGCGCAGCTGTCTGGAGCAGAGCCCTGAGGGAGCCTTGGCCGACCCATGTGGGTCTCTGTGTGCGTGTGCGGGTGTGAGTGTGCGTCTGCACATGTGTGTGCCAGGGTCTGGGCAGGGCCGGCTGCTGGAACTCATCCCTCCAGGGACTCAAATAACTCAGAGCCGCTGATCAGCTTCCGCTCTCAGGACCCTGGACCATCAGGGAAAGTGAGTCAGAGGAAAGGCAGAAAAGAGACGGAGATCTGGGGTGTCTGAGCCCCAGCCCCGCAGGGTCAGAAGACCAGTGACAAATGTCGCTGTCCCTAAGTCTTCCTTTCCATGATTACAAGGCAAAACAAAACAGAAAACCTATCTGGTGCATTCTATTTTTTTCTTTTGGTACCAGGGATGGAACCCAGGGGTGGCTTAACCACGGAGCCACACCCCCAGCCCTCTTTATTTTTTATTTTGAGACCTTGTCTCACTGAGTTGCTGAGGGCCTTGCTAAGTTTCTGAGGCTGGCTTTGAACCGGCCATCCTCCTGCCTCCGCCTCCTGACCCCTGGGAGCACAGGTGTGGCCGCACGTCAGGCTGTATGATGCTGCCCTCTTCACTGTCCCCTGGACTAAGAACTGACAACGTCTCGCTTCCCGCCTCAGGAACTGTCCCTCTCTGTGCCTCCCTGTGTCTGTACCTCTGGTCATCTTTGTACACTCCTCTCTCTCCATCTCTGCCTTTGTCACCTCATTTCCAGTTCCCTGCCTCTGTTTCCGGGTGCGTCTGCCTGTCTAGGTCGCTTCTGTCCGGTTCTCTCTGTTCATTTCTACCTGCTTCTCTCTGGATTTGTGTATGTCCTTCTGTCTCTCTAGATCTCGGACTCTTGCTTTTCCTGACTTTCCCACTCTGTGTGTGTGTGTGTGTGTGTGTCTGTCTGTCTGTCTGTCTACTCTAGCTATCTTTCTGTGTGCCTCCCTCCCTCCCTCCCTGTCCCTCTCCTCTCAGGCTCTCTATCTGCACCTCTCTCTGCGTTTCTGTCTCTCATTCACTTTTTTCTCCTGACTTTCGCTTTCTCAGGCTTCCTTTCTCCCTCTGCTCCACCTCTTCTAGCCTGACCTTGACCTTCCCCTGGAAGAGCCAAGTCCTCAGACCCTGGGTTTCCCCCCTTCAGGCAGGGGGAGAAGGGCAGCCCCAGCCAACAGGGAGAAGGCCCCACGATGCAGGAGCCAGGGCACCGCCCACCCAGCAGGGCGAGCCTGGCAGTGTGTGACGCGCTAATGCCGCCTGGTGTCTGGCTGTGTCAGGATGATGGATCCTCTGATGGAGGTGAGCCCAGAGTAGGGGGAGTGGATTTCTCACCAGTGGGAGGGGACAGCCCAGGCTCCACCCAGAAACTGGGCATTGGGCTGCCTGGCCCTTACCTCACCCTGCCGGGTGGAGCAGCTGTATAAAACCAGATGTTTCTAAAACCAGAGTGTGTGACAGTGAAGGACCAGGACCTTAGGTTCCAGGGGTTGCCTCCTCCAGGAGGCAGACCCTGTCCCTCCTCCCTCAGACCCAGAGGCCCAGACCCCACCCTCCCCCTGGCACCCAGATGTCTAGAGAAGTCCTCTAAGGGTGGCATGACCACGGCTGAAAGCAGCCACAAGACAAGGGCAGGTGGCCCTGGGGCCTT